TTATTAGATAATGGCATAATTACTAAATGTTCTGATCTTTTTCATATCAGATGTGAGGTGACTCAGCTTTTGACTATTTCCTACAGTAATATTATGTATAACCGCTGTTCTCATTTCTTTTTTTGGAGAGGCTTTTGCAGGTTATTTTGGATTTCTAAAATGCTTCTTATCAATCACTGTAAGCCTCTCTTTTCTACTATTTTTTTGTGCTCTCTTTTTCTTTGTTATCTTTTTTGCAGGAAGTCTGTGCTGAATGTGAGTATCATCAACTTTCATTTTTTGTGTGCTGCTGCCGTGCAGCCCACTTTTATTATCTGCAATTTTTGTAATGATAGAAAAAAGGTCCACCGGCTCGTAGGTTTTAATTTTCTATTTGATTGTAGCTCGTCTGAGCGTAGTGAGCTGGAGGACCTTTCTAAGGACCTCGTAACCTTTTTTTCTGATCAACGCGTAGGCCCCTTCTGTGGGTTTTAACTAAAAAAAAAAAAAACCCTATAATTTCACTTCTTCCTCTTATTAGTTTGATGCATTTAATGAAATTTGATACATCCTTACTTGTCCAACTCTACCCTTAGTGTTTTCGAACCTCCACCCTTAATTAATGGTTGGTAGAACAAATACTTATTTGTTAAGTCTAGTGAAACTTGTCCCTTATCATCGTTGCTTTCAAGTTGAGAGCAAGTTTGGCGGAGCTAGATAAACATATATAAAGATAGGGTAAACATTTCATGGTGATTTTAAATCTAAAGCATGTTTGCCACCTTGAACTATAAGTCAAGTATTTAGCTTTGCTGACCCACTCCAAGCTTGCCATAACAAGACAACAAAGCAAGTGAAAATAACTAGGCATTCTTATGAGGTTTTGCTTTTATTGTGCCCTAGAAGTCCCAAAGTTAAATCAACTTCGAAAGCTCTAGCTTTTAGGATACTTATTAAGGAGCCATGCTATGTAATTTCTTTCAATGAGAAGGTCAAGACAACCATAGAATCCAAGGCAAAGGAAGCCATGAAATCCAAGGAAACCAAAAGAAAGAAGATTGTGTAACTTGGCGATTAATAAGTGTTCGAAGGAAGTGAACCACTTTTTATTGAGTATAAATTTGACTCTCTTATTATTTTTTTTTCATGAGAAAATGTTGGTACGAAGAATGAAGTGCAAAGAAATCTCTTTGATGCGGTTGACAAAACATCGAGGCATCCCAAAGATAACATGGAGAAACACTTAGCTATGCAAATGAGGCTTGGACTTCCATCTCCAATTTTGGTAAGACCTCTTAGTAAGTAGAAGTTATCTCAACCTACACATATTTGTATTGAAGCATTTTCAAAGCTTGAATAATAAAAGGATAAATTTATCTATACATGTATAAATCAATCTCGAGCCAACATTTGTCAATCAGCAGCTTTTACTTCTCTTTACACATATTATTACTATAACATTATAATATTAATACCAACCAACTATTACCCCCACACATACACATATTCATTTAAAATACTTTTATTATTAATATAATAAGATTAAAATGTCAAAATTATTTTATGAGCAATTTGTATAAAATGCAATAACTACAATTTTGATTGGTGAAATTACAAAACTAACCAGTCAAAATAACTAGAACATATAATAATAAGTACTACTATATATAAAGAGTTACTGTAGAACAAAGAGTTATGATGCTGAGGCTCTACTCTTTGGTACTTCTCAACGCTGCTGTACCTGAAAGCACAACGCCCCAACGCTCGAACAGGCTAATTTATAGAAAGTTTAAAAATTCTTTTTTATTCAAATAGAGTTGCTATAGTTCACTTTGTTGAAAAATAATGTCGTGTATAAGGAATAATTTGTAAATTAAATATTCTATATTTTTTAAAAAAACTTTGAGTGCTTGCTTGAATATTATTTTTTTATGTTTGGTTCAAATTTAAATTAACTTAGTGCAAATTAATTTTAAAGGGTTCAATGGTGTGGTGATCGACTGGTAGCAGTAGGGTGCGGTAGTTGGCAGTGGCGACAGCTGCTAGAAGAGGTAGCAGGGATAATGGACGGTTTTAGTATTCGATGGTCGATGACTGGTGGCCAAAGACAGTGGATGGTGGCCTTGACGACAAGGTGGTTGGTGGTGGTGATAAGTTATTATAGATTTATCTATTTGGGTAATCTTCATCAAATGTTAAGATGATATTTTTTTAACATAATTTAGTCATCTAATAATATTATTTATTACCTAAATATATATTATTTATGGGTGTCAAAATGTGTCAATGGATCATGTTCATGTCCAACTCGAATTGATTTAGGTCCAAACGAGTTGACCCTAACCCAACCCAATTTTTGCAAATGGGTAATTAAGGAATTCCAACCTGGACTTGTCCAGTGTAGGTTACCGAGTTGACCTGACCCGATTTGCAAACTAAAACCCGGCCTATGCGGTGCGAGTGCGATGCACTGAGTCCATTTCTTCACCAGAAGCCTCCGGTAGCGCACAACATTAGACCACAATGTTGAGCTATAAGATGACAAAGAAGACGAATCAGACTTATCGCTAACATATTCGCCGACTACCATCCTACGGTAGGTGAAGTTGGTCCATGTCACACCTTGGAAACGAAAGATGGATGGTCGTTAGCCTTGAGCCACTGCATAAGGTTGTCATCAAGGCTAGTATTTCCGCGAAAAAACATTTGTGACGATCTCCATAGTCACCAACATAGTTGCCGCCCTAACAGGTCTCTAGGAAACAACCACTCATTGTTATTGGATGTATCGGTCAGAGATACGAAGATGCCCTCATCATCAACCATGTATTTCGTCTCTCTGGCATGATCACCATCAGCGGAAGCGTCACAACCGGTGTCGTGCTAAGTGTTGACTATGCAGGGTGGATCCCAGACTCCTGAGTGGCCACATCCTCAAATTTCCTCGACTTTCTCCTGTATTTTCCTCTAGATGATGAACCGCCTTTTCGGTCTCTCGGCTTCGGGTTAGTCCTAGTCAACTCCGGGTTATCGAGTTAACCCGAACCCAACCGGTATGAAAAATGGGTTAACCCTGAAATTTGTTGGGTCGAGTCTGAGTCTTATTTCAAATCTGATCAAATATTGACACCCCTAATACTATTGATATTAAATTCAAGAATAAATAAAAAAAACTATTTATTAATTAATAATTTAATTATCTAAAATGTAGACTTGTGCTGGATAGTCCCACTCGCGTTTCGCCGTCGCTATAAATAATTATCCTCTCCTCGGGCAGAAACCCTAACTTCATCTGTCTGTGAGTCTCCTCTCAAAACAGCGAGCAGTCGCAGCGGCAGTCGGTAGGAGAAGATCTACCATGGAGACGGCGAAGGTCGGTCGAACTGTAAAGGATGTGTCGCCTCACGAGTTTGTCAAGGCGTACTCAGCCCATTTGAAACGATCTGGCAAGGTTAGATATTTCACCGCTTATTTTCATAAAATCTTAATTCTCTTGTCCGTCCTTTAATTTTTTAAGTTGTAGGAATATACATTTTCGTTGTTTTTGATGTAGGATCTAGCTTTTTTACATATGAAATTTTAAATTTATATTAGAGCCAGCCTCCTCTTTATCTTTTGCAGTCGTTTTGGATATGTGGATGTTTTATTGGGATGTTTTGTGTATTTTGTATGAATGGATTAGTTGGACATGAATTTGTCTTTATGTATCTTTCTCATGCTTTTCTCATATTTTTTTAAAGATCAAATATACTAAATCATTTTCATGCAAGATATACTTTTAAATTAGAGCAGAGAAAATTGTGAGGAATTGGTTTGATTCTACCAACACACTACTAGTTATAATACGGTACTGAAAATCTTTTTCTCCGTTAGATGTGTTTGATATTTAGAAAAAAATAGATTTATTTTATTCCACTAATTTAACATTTACAAGGTGAGTTTTGGCTTGATGCGAATAATTTCTCTGGCTAAATAGTTTTTGATGTATTGTTTATGTCCTTCCAAAGTGCTATTGATTTGATGTTATAGAACATAATTATGCTTTTAGTGGGGAATTTTGACATAAAACATTTAGTGAAACTAATAATATAACTTTTTAACTCTCTTGTATTGAGTGTTGATACGGTTAAGTGCCATGTTTTATATAGGATGTTACAGCTTGATTTTATTAAAATAATTAGCTTGTTTATTATTTAAATAATTGTTCTTAATACAATTTTGGAAGTTATGAGTAAATGTGTTTGGGTTTAACATTGTTTTCTTTGATGAGTGAATGCATTTGTATGTTATGCTTTGTTGTTTTTACCTATATGTGAGTGTTGATATCCTTTTTAAATTTTACAGTTGTTTGGGGAGGGGTGGGGCTTTTGATTGGACTCTGGTGCTTATCAGTTGTGATCTAATTGATTAGTCGTTCAAGAATATTTATGTATGGGATATTTCTTTGCTTGCCTCTTGTTTTTTTGTTTGTTTAAACAACAACAACAACAACAACATCAAGCCTTTGTCCCACTACGCGGGGTTGGCTACATGAATCCTTTTTCGCCAATGTGTGATGTTAAAAGTCAAATTATCATTTAAATATAATAAAGAAATATACTAATCATTTTCATGCAAGATTTATGTTTGAATATTTCAAATAGTATTAAACAGAGAATTTGTATTTTATTAATTGTTTTATTCTACAAACATTCTATTTTGCAAAAAGGCTTGATACACCACAAAAAATCGCTTTGATCAAGCATGAATCTTGAGGCATATTATACTTGGCAACTTTCAAAATTAAATGTAGGACCATCCGAACTCCAAATTCAAGAGTCTTATAGTCGAATTGAACATCTCAGGGGGATGAACCAAACGACACCAAAATTGGCCCAATTCGGGCCCAAATGGGCTCAAATTAAGGGCTAAAAGCATATTTGGAAGCCCCAAACCATTAATTAAATGACTAAACTATATCCAAATATTACATGCTTATAGTTGAATCGAGCGGCTCAACAAGAAAAATCCAACGAACCCAAGATCACTTAATCGTGGCATCATTAAGGCACTAAATACTGAACAAACGTTCAATGATCGAGGGAATCTGATGTGACTTGGAAGTAAAAACAACAAAATATATAGAAGAAAAATGATGAATACAAATATGGGGGCTGATTTTTGATTACTTATTTAATAATAATGGAATATATAATTGATCATCTATTCGAGAAATTGGCTCTCCCACAAACCCTAGGTGTTTCTAGGAACAACTCCAAAGAAAAAATTGCAACAAACACAGTCACATAGTGAAAATAAAATCACCCAATTAACTTTAGCATAAACCTCTCTACTTTCCTCATAAAATTAAGTTTGAATAAGTTATCTTTCCCTAAATAAATATTTCCTAATTCCATCCCAAGAAAATCAGCCCATTTTTTCAAGATAAACCTTTCTTTATTACTTCCTAATCAAATTAACCTTCTTTTCCTTAATAAACTTTTCATAATTACCTCCCTATCAAATCAAGTCATCTTTTTCTAAATAAACCATTTCTAATTGGTCCCCCCTTTAATTCCTCCTTACATAATGAGTAATAAATCTCTTAGGCCCCGGGGGGGGGTGAAATTCCCCCTCTGCTGCCCTTGATTTTTCCCAACCAAATGGTTGCTCGATCTGGGTTGGGCCAGTTGATGTAGTCAAGAATTTATGCTAAGTATTTTTTTTTTGTATGAACCTATGATGGAAAATAACGAAGGATCTTGTTGGGTTTGGTGCTCTCTAGTTGGTTCATACCATTAAATTTTCATTTGAGTTTGATCTTGCTTCCTTGCTCCTTGTTGGTTGGTTTGGTATTTAGTTGTGGGTTGTTTTTTCCTTATTGGGTTGGACCCATTTCATCCCTTGCTTTATGGCTACTTAGGATTCTTCCCTCTCCTTTTTGTTTGTTTGGATTTCTGCTTGCTTTATGGATGCTTGGGATTCTTCCCCTCTCCCTTTGGCTGTTCGGTTTTCCCCATTGCTTATTCCTATGCTTGATGCTTCGACTTCTTCTTTGAGAGTTGATTTGGATTGCTTTTATAGGTTGAATTGTTGGCTTATTTAATTGAACAATTAAACGTTCTTTCCCCTCCTTCGCCTATATAAAATGGTTGATTCTCTCTTGTAAAAGACAATTTTTGGTGAAAAATTTCAACCTGAGGGTTCCTTCGTGGTTTGTGAGTTGGTCTCTCTTTATTCCATATTACTTCCTCTCGGTCTTCTTTCTACTTCTTCCCTCCACGATTTCTCTTCAACCTGTATCTTTCTTCTCTAAACTTTGTGAGTTGTGAGGCAGTATTGTTACCCTGTTTTGTTGGCATTTTTCTGAGGAGTGTAAACTTGTGCTAGATCAAGTTTCAGCGGTGGATTACTGGTTAGATATTTTCTTTGAGCACCTTTCGCTCATCTTTCCCTAGTTTTGTGTATTGTATGTGAGGCGACCATTCATGGTTATTTTGAGGGTTATTATTGTTTTTAAGTGCTTTGAATCTTTATTTTCTAAGCGATTTTCTAATCATTTTCTATCATTTGTTTCTACCAAGTCAATTTCTATTTGTGTTTTTGTTATTGAAAAGAAGTTTTTTAATTTAGTGCCAAAGTGTTATCCTAAAAGGTTTAAAAACTTAGATTTCATCACCGACTGGGTTGGTCTGAGCTGGTCTAATGCCCCCTGGCATATTAGAATCATTATGGGTCGTCCAATGGAACACTCAAAACTTGCTGTGGATATTCTCTATATTTACGAAGCATGTCACTCTCCAAATTTATAAATAGATCTCATCTTCTCACATGAAAGGGGGTTGTGACCTTTAGAGGTTGGGATCATGTGCTAGAGACTCAAAAGTGATCCGAGGCTTGAAGAATCCCTGAGCTGCACTTCAGCACCATCGCCGACGAATCCTCAACTCCCGACCGTTACTATAGACCTCTGCATGGCCACCATCAATGGCTCTTCACTTGACCACCATAGCCCGACTACGGGCCCTTCGATCTCCGTCGCCTGCAGACTACGATTCCTTCGACCACCATAGCCCGCCGACTATGGTTCGTTCAACTATCATTGCCTACCGACTATGGTCCGTTCAACTATCATTGCCTACCGACTATGGTCCCTTTGGCGCCCACTCACTATGCCCCTTTGGCCACTATCGTCTGCTGACTATGATCCCTCAGGCCATTGTCGCTCGTGGACTACAGTACCTCTGGCCTCCATCGCCTATCGACTACGATTCCTCTAGCCTCCGTCACCCGCCAATTATGGTCCCTGCAGCCTCCGCAGCCCGCCGACTATGGTCCCTCTAGCCTTCGTTGCATGCCAACCAAGGTTCCTCAGGCTATCATCGCCTGCCGATTATGGTCTCTTCGGCCTCCGTTGCCAGCAGACTACTATCCCTCCGGTCACCTTGGCTTGCCGATTACAGTTCCTCCGGCCATTGTTGCTTGACCACAGTCCTTTCGACCAAATGAATAGGCCAACATCCTCTTGAGAACAACTCTCATGTCACTAGATTCCTCATTCCTTCAACTCCAAACAAGTAATGTGCGACTACAATCCATCCGACCTGGGTCCAATTATGTAATGTGCTCTATATGATGTATATTGAGCCAGCCTTCTCCCGAGGAAGGGCATCATTTGTAATCAACAACAAACAATAGTGAATTCATTTCAACTGGGCATGACCCTATAGTATTTTCCCATGTAAGGGTTTTCCAGGTAAAAAAATTGGTCTCTTATGATTCTTCCATCTCTCTATTTTATCTATATGCCTGCTGGATCTTCGTTCAAAACTAAGACATTAAGCTCTTCATCTCTCTATTGCCACGTATATAGTGACACACAACAATGCTATTTTCAATCCAAACATTCTTCTCCTTAATTTGACAAATTCTGGAATAGAGCCTCTATTTTTGCCTTATCTTCTGGATATTGGCCCGGCTTTAATTTATCTAGTTTCACAACAAACGAGAAACAACAACTACAAGATGGTCTGTATGGTGATGGGCAACATATTTGCTTATCTCCAATTTTGTGGGCTATAGTCATTGTTCATGAACTTGAGCATGGATGATCTATTCATTATCAGGATGAAGCTTGTGTGAGACTAACTGGCAGTTCAAATTGATTGAAGCTGATGAATCTATGGATAAGTTTATTGAATGATCCTTTGCAACAAACTTTCTACCTATTTTATTGTTTTTAGTTCTTGCAACATTTAATTAGCAGTAGCATTGAGCTTTCAACTTGCCAGTAGCTGATCATGCAATATATGTTTGAGCATTGAGGGTTTGCTCGTGCATGTTTAGATATTAGTTAGAAATTTATTTTGTTTCATTTCAAATGTAAGGTTTAAAGGAAGTTAAGGCATGAATGTTCTGATTGTAATTTAGAAATTTACCTAACCTCCTCTCTTCATTGTTGCTGATGCCGGTTTTGCATGGATGAATGTGTTAGGTTTTTCTATATATGTTAATTGATTGATCATGGTCTTACATAAAAAAAATGTTTGAAATGTGTGAATGCTAGAAAGGATAATTTTATGTTTTTGGTTTCTAGCTTCATACTTTACATGTTCAGTAATATCAACATTTTGTTTAATCTTGTTTTGTCTCCTTCTGATTACATGTTTTTCTCACAAGTGTTATTGAGATAATGGGTTGCATGAGCATTTGCAAAGTATTTTTGCGAATTGTCTTAATGCACTGTTTAATAAGAATATAGTTTATCCTCCATGCACATTGTGATGATTATGAGGTGCATCCTTTTAAGATTGTTCTCTTCAATTTTGTATGGAACCCAAAGTGATATGCCACAAGTAAATTCACTTGTGATGAGAAGTAAAAGATATTGGATTAGTTCATGACTCCTAAGTGATCCACCATAACTTCACTAATTATGGTTTAAAAGTAAGCAAAGGTTGAGTTATACTTCAAAGTTATTTGGATATTGTTATGAATGTGAAGATGCGAGTTGGTGGACATGATAACTAGAAGAAGAATAAATGTTGTTTCTTTACAAGAAACTAAATAAAAGGAATAATAAATCAAGGATGTTGGTGAAGTTATATTAATTTATTGTATGTTGGAAATGTAATAGCATGAATTAGGTTGGGGTAATGATGGATGGTGTTGAAATATAAAATATTTTGAGGTAACTAGGTTTATGATATGGTGCTTACTATTAAGATGATTATTGGTGATAATAATATGAATATTGTTAATGCTTAGCTCCTTGAGTCGGATTGGAAGATTTTTTGTGGAAAAAGTGGATTAACAACTATAATATATACTTGAGGAAGAAATTATGGTTATTAGAGGTGATTTAAATTATGGTTATTATGGGATGAGTTATAAGTACATTTATGGTGGTCATGAGTTGAGAGATAGAAATATAATAGGAGAAGCTATGCTTTATGTTGCAATAGCCTATGATCTTGTAATAGTGAATACAAATTTTAAGAAATGACAAAACACTTTGTTGCTTACAAAAGTGGAACCATCAAATCACAAATAGATTTCTTTGCGCTTAAAGGAAAGAAAACTTATCTTACAAAGATTGTAAGGTAATTTTGAGAGAGTTTGACCACACAATCAAAAGAGGATGAAGTAAACAATTAAAAGAAATTATTGCATCAGGATAAGGTGAGATGGTGGAATTTAAAAGGCGAGAAATTATTAATCTTTCAAGATATATTGCTAAGGGAGACAAGTTGGATTGTTTTAGTTGGACCAAATCTAATATGGGATAAGATGACTAGTTTTATTAAGAAAGATTGTTGTAGAAGTTTTATGAGAGTTTAAAAATGGATTGCATCGCAAGGGGATTTGGCGGTTGAATGAGGCAAATATATTATTAAGGAAAAGAGACATCCTTTAAAAGGGTGGCAATAATTGAATACTACTGGGACTTTGAATAATTATTAGAAAATTAAAAGTTGTACGAAGGGCTCATTTTATAAAACAATAATTATTGTTTTTGATAATTTGTATAGAGTGTTTGATACTAAAGAAGCAAAAAATGAGATATATGCAACACACAAGGTGAAATATATCAAGTCAGATACATTTGGAGGAAAGATAAAAGTATTTTGGTTGGGGATAATATATCAAGATAAGATGAAATACTTTTTTAAGAAATTATTAAATTAAAGTTTTAAGAATAAAGTTATTGTGAAAAAGCATAATTAAAATTATAATAAGATATATAGGTTGATCTAAAAAATTTAAAGTGGAGCTGGTTTTGAAGAAGACGCCTAAAGGTAATTCTTGCGCTCCATATAAGATATGTATTGAGAATTATAGGGGATAATGCCGGGATTTGGTTTCATGAATCTTTTCGATGGAGTTTTGAAAACCAAGATGATATACCAAGTGGATTCCAAATAATTGTAGTAGTAGTATTTTTATATCAATTTTTATTAATAAATGCCATATTCAATATTGTGTTTATCATATGGGAATCAGATTAATGTGTCAATAATGGAATGTCAGCTTAGGAAAATTATATCAATTTCAGATAATTAATCTGGTTTTATGCCATAAAAAAATATGTAAGAATTTTTTAAAGATAATTATTAAAAAAGATAGAGATCAAAGAAAAGATTTTATTTGATTTTATTGATCTTGAAGTTACATTTCAAGTGCCTTGACAAAATTTTTGGTGTGCATGAAGGTAAAAAATTCTGACAAATGCATGCGAAAGTCATTAAAGATATGTGAAATCGAGCATTGACTAGAATCAACAGTAATTGTGAGTGGCCAAATAATTTTGAATTATAGTAGACTTCCAATAAGGACTACTATTGAATTTATATCTTTTTGTATCATTTATCGAGAGGCTTATAAAAAATATTCAAATTCTAATACTTTGATGCATTTTTTTTTCTTTTTTATTATGAATTTTTTCTTCTAATACTTTGATGTATGTTTTTTGTAGATGGCATAGTTTTAAATGGTTTATTATCTATTAAAATAAACAAAAAGAAAGAAAAGAATAATGGAGATAATATTTGAAAGATAGATGACTTAGAATTAGTTAAATAATGAATTGGTATGTCTGGTGAAATTCTATTGCATATGATATTATGAATTATCACTCAATATTATTAGAAGATAAATTGATCATTAGCTATTATATGATTGAGTATCTTGGTTGTAGGTTTACAAGGGTAAAATTATGAACAGAAGCATTTTGCTTTAGTGATGTGAGATGTAAGCCTTTAATAATAATGGAAAAAAACTCTTAAATTAAAAAAATATATTTAAATATGCCATGTATTATCAACATATTAACTAAGTTCATTACCATAAACCAAAAAATCGCATTGTAAGAAGAAAATATATTTTGATCTTAAATGCTAATCTAAAGTGAAAGTGTGAAGCAAAATTTATGGTAAGCCCACTTATAATTAAAATATGCCATGAGTATCAGGATCCATAGTAATCTCTTCTTTACTTTCATGATCTTCAAAAGAATGATTATTTGTAACAACTCCATCTTTCTCTATTTTTCAACATTTTTATCACAGCTAAATATTGACTTTAGCTTGTAATGCTTTAGAAAAGCTTTTCTATATTTTAAGCATGAATATTATGAATATTTTTTTTATAATGGGGATTCAGTGGTATCCTTTGGGCTTGAATGTTTTATTGTTTTTTATATTGCAAAATATGGCCAATTTAACAAAAATTATCATAAGCATACTAATTGTATAATTTTAATGAATATTAATTTAGGCCTATTTTTTGGTTAAAAATTGTGAATGTTAGCATTATATTTTATATTGTTTTTAGCCCTTTTCTCCTTTAATTGCATTGAATTTGTTCAAACAATCATAATGTTACAAGTTATAGATTAATCGTTCAAGCATTTAAGAAAGGTAATTTTTTCCTTTTTGATTGGAGCACAGACCACCAAGCTTTATAGCCAACTAAACATAAGGTTGTTTTTCCTACATTTACTTTATAACCAACCTTACAACATTGATTTGAATACAACGCATTTTTTTCACCTTTGTTTTCCCAAAATACATGCAACCAAATCGACCTTTAACATATATTTTATAAAACATCAATTAGGTTAGTTGTTTTGTATGATTTGAGTGTTGAGTGGTAAATATGCTGTTGATAGTTAAGTTGGGTGTGGTGAAAATGGGAATGCTATGATGGATGTTGTAAAATTAGGAGGGATAAATTGTAAAATGATTATATTAGAGGAATGCTTGTAGTGATATCTATGAAGCTAAGGTTGAAAATAGACTTTCATGATTTGGGACAGTAAAGGGTATAAAATATACCCATCATATATATATATTATATATATATATATATATTGTCTGGAAGGATTGGAAAAAGGAGGTTTATCACCTCATTAGGAATGTATGCAAAATGAGGATTCATAAAATCAACCCCAAATAATTAGAGGTGATGCAAGTTTCAATATGAATTTGAAACTATGGGAGCCCAAAAGAAAAGGAAAGAAAAATTGAAGAGAAAAGCAAAAATGACGAAGGCCTCTGCTTTAAGTGGGAGAAGAGCTAGATAATAGAGATTGTATTTTGTTTTTCTAAAATTTAACCTGGAAGTTCAACTCCCATTAAGAAACCTGTCAAAGTAGCTCTAGAATGACCCCACTAACGGTTGGAGACCTTTCGCTTTGTTTGAAGAGCTCAAGTAATCAGACGTGGTGGGGGATTAGGACAAAGTGCTGGTTAATTAAACTTGTCCAAGTCTACTATCCAGCTCATTCCTTGTAATCTTTTTAAAAACAATTTAAAACCAAATAAAGCAAACACCAATTACATATGAAAACTATTTTTTAATGTTTTTTTGTTCTTTTTTTTTAAATTAATAGCTACACTAATCATTTGAACTATCTTTTGTTTTCTGATCCTGCCATGACCTAACATTGCAGTATTAAATTCCTTTTTACGCAGGACTCGTCATATTCAGTTTAGGCATCATTTAGTTCTGCTCTTTGATGCATGAGATATCTATTTTATATTCCCATAAATCTATTGTCAGTTATTTTGATTTTATTTCACGTGGTTCACATGCAAGTAATGTTTATTCTTAAGAGCCATTTATCATAGTAGTTAGTATAATGCTTTCTTTTTTTCTCATTATACAAACTAGTTGCTCCTCCATTGGCTTATTATCAGCATCTTATTTGTATTGCAGATTCTAACAATTGTTCTTGTTTGTGGTGATCAATTAACTTGTTAAAAAAGAATAGTTACAGGCTTACAGCCTTGTTACAATAGCCAAATTGAATGCACATTAAATTAGAAAAGTTCAACTATAATGAGATTTTGATCACTGACGCTAAGCAAGTTACTCGCCTATATATGAGTAATATTGTTTTGCTTTACTTTTGATTATTTGCTCCAATAAATAGGTCGAACTTCCACACTGGACCGATATTGTTAAGACTGGACGGTTCAAGGAGCTTGCTCCATACGACCCAGATTGGTACTACATTAGAGCTGGTAATCTTTGCATTTTGGAAGTTGACTTATTACTACTTTCTCCTATAACTTCTGAGCAAATACCATCTAAGATGCATCTTTAAGCTGTCCCTTGCATTTTGCAGCTTCCATGGCGAGGAAGATCTACCTTAGACAGGGCATTGGAGTAGGCGGCTTTCAGAAGATCTATGGAGGGCGCAAGAGGAATGGTAGCAGGCCACCTCATTTCTGCAAAAGCAGTGGAGCCATTGCTCGTCACATCCTCCAGCAACTGGAAAAGATGAATATCGTTGAAGCCAACGAGAAGGGGGGAAGGAGAATTACTTCACAAGGTCGCCGTGATCTTGACCAAGTTGCTGGGCGTGTGGTAGTTGTGGCATAAATGCTTTACAGGGAACCAGCCGTTCACCAGCTACTAGAATTTAAATTTCCTGCAGATTTTGTTAGGTACTTCTTTCGTGTCAATCTCGTGTCAAAAACATATTTTTAAGATGAATGATTTCCAGTTTCTGTTATAGGAATTTAGGATTTTTACTTGGACCTTTAAAACGTAATGTGCCACTCAGTTTATTTGGATATAATAACTGTTATAAGGTTCTTTGGTTGCAGTTTTGCCATGAATTGCCTGTAGTGCTCATTAACGATTTGATCTCAACATTGATTCAACTTTGTTTTAAGATTTGCTGGAAGTTATTTGATTTGATTTTGAGCTATGTTTAATCATAATCATCTTAATTTGATTTTACAAGTTTCGAACTCGAGACTTCTGAGTTGGTAGCTAAAATTTTTAACCAACGGATCAAACTGAGCTGCATGATGAGCAACTGTTGCTAGGCATTCTGGTGAGCGTGCTGGCTTCAGAGTTTGGCTTGTTAATTGTTGAGGGTTAAGCCCAAATAATTCATGAGCAGAGCTTATTTTGAGTAATAAAAGACCAGCGTTCAAGTTGGAAACTAGGGGTGTCAATTTCGGGTCATGGGTCGGGTTTGGGTTGAACCCAGAATTGACTCGGGTTTAAACGGGTCGACTTTAACCCGACTCGGGTAGACAAACGAGTCAGAAATCCGAACCCGGTTCCGACCCGGCGGGTTGCGGGTTGACCCGACCCGATTTTGGGTTCTGCCGGCGGCGGGCGAGGGGGCGGACGCGAGCGGGGCAGCGGGTGCGGGTGCGCTGGGCAGCAGGAGCGAGCGCGCGGGCAGCGCGAAATTTTTGGGTTCGCTAGCAGCGGATTTGAAATTTTTTAAATTAAACGGGTTCGCGAGTTGACTTGGCAACCCATCGGGTCAACTCGAATCCGACCTGTTTTTTAAACGGGTCAATTTATGGAACCCGAATCCGACCTGTTTTGAAATCGGTTCGGGTCCAACCCGAATTTTCCGGATCGGATTTTCGTGTTGAGATGATAAGTGAAACGATGCTATTACTAAAATATTTTTATTTTATAAGCAATAAAAAATTATTATTTCTCTCATGGATGATAAATATGTAGTTCATGATTGTCCTCATCATAGAGTTCAAAATATAACAAATTTATATTATTTTTTAGTTGAAATATTATACATTGTGATTGATATGCAACTTTGAGATTTAAATTATCATTTTATAAAGACAAAGAATATATTTCTTTTACCCATGACATTATTAAATCCAAATAACTCATTCAATGTATTCAATAAAGACAAGTTAATGATAATAGCAAATCTTTATCTAAATGATTTTTACCCCAAAGCTCTAATGATTCTTGACAATCTATTAAAAATTTCTACTATAGATTTTTGATTTGATGTACAATTTTTATCTTGAAAAGATATTGGTAGCCTTGCTATGAAAATGAATAGAATAAAAATAATACTTTATATTTTATTATTTTCAAGCTATTAAAACCAATTTTATCAAATTTTAAAGCAAATATTGAAAGAGTTTTTTGTTCTATGATTAAAACTGACATTAATTTTTCCAATTGGTAGAGCAAATATTGAAAGAGTATTTTGTTTAATGATTGTTACAACAATCAACTACAAAATAAAATTTAAACTCTTTGGATGAATGATAGTTTAGTCACTTTAATTAAAAAATAATTATTGGCCGATATCAATAATGAAGTAATTATTTAAAACTTATAAAATATGAAGAGTATGTGTTATTAGGGCTGTCAATATTGGACCCGACCCGAAAATCTGACCCGAAAATTTCGGGTTTGAGTTGACCCGAACCTGAAACAGGTCGGGTTTGGGTTAAATAATTTGACATGTTTAAAAAATAGGGTCGGGTTCGGGTTGACCCATTGACCCGAAATCGACCCAGAAAATCGACCCGTTTACAAAAATGAGTAGCTTGACCCGAATCCGAATAGTGCCGGGTCAATTCGGGTTCAACCCGAACCCGACCCGTAACCCGAAATTGACACCCATATATGTTATCAATTATAAGTTTTAGATCTTCCTACATTTTATCTTTTTATATTAACATTCTTATATTTTTTTTTAATCACCAATGTTGGTCGTACGTTTAGATGAAAAAGGTTGATAATATTTTTGAAATAGCTAATTTATGCACCCATTAAAAAAAACTTCTATCTCAACCACTGATTGCATGCATTCTCATGTGTAATTTTTATTTATTACCATAAGTTAGTTGAGAGGTCAGAGTAGTAGGCAAATTATTGCATTCGGTCACCGGATGCGGAGATAGGTCCGGATATTAATAAAATATTATTTTAAATTAAGTGTGTCAAAAGCGCAGTCAAAACGCAACTAAAGTGCAAGACAAAAGTGCAGTCAAAAGCGTAAGTGACGTGACAAATTTTTATTGAATGTCCGAATCTATTTTTCGTGTCCGGTGACCGGATGCAATAATTTGCCCAGAGTAGTATTATTTAGATTAGTGTTTTTTTTTTAAAATAAAATTGAAGATTCACTTAATATGCGATTATAAATAATGCTAAGTTATTGTCCATGAATGTGTTGAATTAATATTTTCCTTATAATGTTCATTAGATTCATCTTCTAAGCATAACATCTTCTTTTAATGAATATATAACATATTTATACCTTTAATGCCATTTGAAGTTAATGATAAATATTCTATCAGAAGGATTTATAAAGGTGAGGGTTATCCAAATGACTTTGCATTCTTTAGAGAATTTATGACAGAGAGTTTTGAGAATATTCCAGAGAGCTTTTTTGAAAGAATTGTTATGGAGGTTAAAAAAAATTCAATAATTAGTGACTAATGCCATATGTAGGAGAAATTATTAGGTGCGGAGTGTAGACGGGAAAATCGTCCGTACAAGCACTGGGTACCTAGTGGTACCCAACGGTACCCAGCGGTACCTAGTGCGGGTACCAAGCTGGGTACCCACCAATGAGGTGACTTGTCACATTTTATTGGTCTCCAGACGCAGTCCACACTCCGCACCTAATAATTTCTCCATATGTAGGGCAAGATGTCTTGTGATATTTGTTGGAATTTCAAGGAAAATATTTGTTGACCTCATTGTTTAAAGGAGATTCACAAAACCTTCAAGTGCATAGCCTTGGCTCATAGTATCACTTTCTTAGTGTAAGGCCTTCCCTATAGGATCCTCTTTGATGGATTCCTTATGACTTATCATTGGCTAGTTATAAAAAAACCCATAGGGTATTGCATGCCCTATGTTGGATCCATAAATTGGGTCAACCCTAGTGATTTTAGGTTGTATGTAAAACCTTTAAGATTTTACCATAAAATGTACCAAATTCATTAGAAGCCTCATTAAATTTTTCAAAACTCATTTCTAATAGGTTGAAGTTAAATAAAATATTTAAAATCCAAAGGAAATCCTAAGAGGGCCCTCAGGTTTAAGTGGACCATCAATGATCCAATTAACCTTAGATTTATCTAAAAGCTGTCTAAGAACCCTAGGACACTCCCTAGTCAGCATAAATAGGTGGAGAACTCTATTAAACTAATCTTAGGTCGATTTAAGTCAAATATAATCCCAAGAAAAAAAATTTAAAATGATCAATCTACTCTAAGAGCCCTTGAACGACTCATGTGGCCACTCATAGGTCAAGGAGTCTTGGTGAACCCATTTGATCCATGGACAAAATAGGGGACCAAAGTTATGTCTAAACTTAAAAAATTAAATGTAAATCCAAATAGCAAATATAAACCTAGTAGCCTTAGCCCATTTTAGGAACACTCTAAATTATGCATGACCCATGGTCACTCCCCCTTCACCATGGCGAAACCTAGTTCGATAAAAATATCCAAATAACCAACCTTAGGTTCACATGAACCAAACCCAAGTAAACCCGTTCCAAACCCTTCCAAACTTTTCTTAGGCCTTCCTTAGAACTTGACCTAGCTCCCATACCTGACCTAAACCCTTAGGGTTAGCCCAAGTGATTCAAACCCATCGACCCGAGCTATAGTTAGGTCAACCTAACCAAGTTCAATCCCCCAAGCATAAGTCAAGCTGATCTAAGGCTTCTAAAGGACTTCTTAATCCTTTATGGACTTTACCTAATTAGCAGGCCACCTATCACTACCTTAGTTGGAAAATATAGTTATGGCCAACAACAACATATGCCTCCAAACCCTTTAACCTCTCCCCCTGGCCACTCATGCCCTAGCAACTATCATGGATAGTTATCTCATCTCCATTAGATTATACCTAATTGCCATATCATCGCGCATCATCGATGATGTCCAAATCCCCGCGCATATACAAAATTAATTTTCCAATAAATTAGCAGTATCTAGGCCAATTTCGCTACACATTAAGATCTCCCCTAGCTTCCCCAATGATTTCTGAGCATTCCTAATCTTCTCCCTTCCTCAACTCCCTCTCTATGAATAAAAACACCGAGCTCCGATGACCCTTGTTTGGTGGCCCTAGTAGTATAAATTAAAAAAAAAAAAAGAATGTAAAAAAAATCTTTTTGCTTACTATCTTCTTATTTATGCACTTGCACTCGTCCTATTGAGTGTCGTGTATTTTTCTAAGTCTTTAATTCTACTCTTTTGCCAAATTGTTCTAGTTATATAATAATCATAGTGGAACTCACTCAATGATAACTAGCAAATTTATTTAATTATTTAACTCAGCTGAAAATTGAGTAAATAATGTAAAACTAACTGAACTCTTAAGAATAAATATGTTTGTATTCTATATGATGAATGAATGGGAGAAAATGTACATGAAAGAATAATACATGCTCAATGAACTATAACTAGTCTAGCTTAAACTCCATGGATTCCATCAAATGAATATAACTGAAAGTACTTGTTGATGATACTTTGACTTGCCCAATTCATAAGGAAAATCCACTCACTCAACTCAGTGAGTCTAATGAATAAATGGTAAAATGTATAACTAATAATATAATACCATTTGATAGTTCAAGAATACTCATTAGATTTGTTTATGAACGTGTTTGTTTGATAGTGTAAAAAAATTCGCTAAATATGTTCACGAATATAACTCGTAAGGCTTGTTTATTTAAAGTTTGATAAGTACTAAACAAATCGAACATGAACCAAACATGAACACCGTTAATTTAAACAAATCAAATATGAACACAAATAATAAAACTCGAATCAAATAATTTGAACCAGCTAAAAATAAATGAACTCAAAGCCGAACAATAAAATATTCAGCTCGGTTGGATTCATTCACAACCCTATTATTCCGTTTCAAATATAACTGTGAGCCATTATGCGCCATACCGTACGGTTGTTCATGTACTGGCCATTAGCATACGCGTTCGATTGACTTTTGTTTTCTTCTTTTTTTGGCATGAAAAAATAAATGAAAAAAAGAAGAAAAAAAAGAGTAGATCTGAGACGCTTTTGCGGTATTTAAGGAGATAGAAGCCTCCCATTTCTCCAGGGAAAAGAACATTCAGCATTTTCTGTTCAGATTCTTCAAGTTCTTCTTCCCTTTCCCGTTCCCATACGAGAAAGGTCAACAGCGGAAGAAGTTTTTGTCATTTTATCACTCTTCCTTGGTGAGTAGAACCTACGGACACTTTGGTTAGGTAATTTATGAACCTAGATTTCCTCTATCTGTCGTGTTTTTTCCTTCTTTCGATTGTTTTGTGGGTTCAGGCAATGGAGGGTTTCAAAATGTGATGTTTATATGCCCTTTTGTTCTTCCTAGGTCTGGATCTATGCATTGCAGCGATGGTATTTTTTTTATTGACCCCTTGGATCTATTGTCATTAGAATCTGTTAAATTTTCTCTTGATCTAGATCTGTGATTGGAGAGCGTCGTTGTTGGATTTTTAGATCTGTTCTGGTTTTGTTCTGGATCTGGTTTGTGGGTTATCATGTTTTACGGATCTGGTTGTCTGTTGCTTCGTAAGGGTTTGCTATTCCATTGTTGTATTATAATTGAAAAAAGTGTTGCCTGAATGCGGGGAGCTTTTTTATGATTGTTTGGTTCATCACTTTAGCTACTATTGTTCTGGAATCTGGAATTGTGTTTTTGTAATATTTGGATCTGCACATTACGCGGATTCTTATATTCATGCTTTTAAGAAGCATTTGATGCATTATGTTTGTTTGAAATTACTGATTTCTACAATGCCAGTTAGCGGGAAATCTTTCACTGTTTTGTTTTTAGCACCATCAGCGAGGAAGCTAATCATCCAGTTATTTCTCTGAATGGAATTACTTCTATGTTTTATTTTCTTTTTATTTCCGTATACATTTCCCTCTATATTTGTCGATTTTTTTCTCAAAGAATTTATACTCTCAATTAAGGCTGTAAATGAACCTGGTCGAGCGTAGTACTATTTTTTTCGAGCTTTTATTTATTTATGTAATTTTCATTTGGGTTGACTTGAGCATGGCATGAGACTTAAGATTTTGTTCAATCTTGCTTATTAGTTTTCTTATTCAATTTGAATCATAAGTGAGTTTAATGTAACATAATTAATCATATATTTTATTCAATGATTTAAAAAATTATAAATATTGCTACATAAATAAATTTGAGTTTTAATTTAAATTTACATAACTCCTAAGTATTATTTATGGTTTAGTGAAGTTCAAATATCATTGATAACAACAGAATGACTAAAGATGTAGGTCTTAATCCAAAAGTAAAGAGAGAGGAGATCCATTATCTTGGATTCTTTGGAAAAGGAAATCTCCATCAAAAACTTTTTTGATATCTAGCTTAGCAAAAAAAAGGCTAGTCCAATTTTATTTTTTGAAGTCCTGAAAAATGATTGGCAAGAATGATATTTTTTACATTTTTTTTTTGTTTGATGAATCCTTATTGTACAGGCTGAATGATCTTAGACATAGTAGGTTTTAGATGGATAGCTTGCATCTAAATTTATAAGAAATTGCATAAAAAATAGGCCTTTAGTCAGTAATTTTGTTAGCATGAGAAGTTTTAGGGATGAGAATAATAGCAATAGCTTTGCCATTTCTTAGGAGCCTTTTAGTAAGAAAGAAATATTTAGCAATAGCAAAAATTGAGGCCTAAGAATGAGCCTGGGCATAACTGAAGAATCTTGTTAGTGAAACCATCACTGCTAGGGGCAGAATTACCTAGAGCATACAAATTGGCTTGCATCATCTCATCATTGATAAAGGGCAAACCAACATATCTTGAAGATTTGGAGCTATAGATTTGCGGACAACTTTAAAACAAAGGGATTTTCTGATGCTGTGGAGAAATTAAATTGCCCTTTTAAGTAACTTGATAGTAGCATTGCCTATGTCAGGAGTGGAGAATGGTTATAAAGTTATTTAATGTGATTATTATTCCTCATGCCTTCAATCTTAAAGTAGAGAAATTAAAGATCATCCTCAACCCTGATGACCCATTTAATTTTTGCTCTTCAAGTAACCCAAGAATTAAGCAATTGGTGAAGTGGGCTAATTGAACATTATTAAACTTGGCTTCAAAATTCAAGAGGTGTCTAGTAGAATTGAAGTCCTGGAGAAAATGGACTTTGAGTTGATTTTTATTAAGCTGATTGAAGTATTCAATGATCTTGGAACTTGAGAACCAATCTTGATTTTTAAAACTCCTTGAGGAACTTGAGGCTTTTGGAAAAGTGCATATATATAGGATCTCCATTCTCCACTCATGCAAATGCTCTAAATATTTTTGAGAAGATCTTTGAAGTTCGAATGGAGACCTAAAGGGTTCATGAACATAAATCTTTTTTGAGCTCTAGTGAAAGTGATCATAGGAGAATGATCATGACATAATGGTGGAAGGATTTTCTCAGAAGATAGAGGACTAATATTCAGCCACGAGGAGTTAATAAGAAGTGTGTTAAGCTTGATCCTGATAGAAGAATCAGGGAGACCATTGAACAGGTGTATAAATGGCCATTAAAAGATAGATTCGTGAGCCCGTAATTATGGATGGTGCTGTCTTGAAGGAATCAAATGCAATTGAAGGCCCTCGTCATAATCTAGACTCCAGTGATGGATGAGGCAATATGCCTGATAGTATACCAGAACTGTCTTACATTTTGGGACTTGTCAATATAAGTTACAGTAATAAAAAATATATAGAACCGCCAGAAATCACTTCTTCTTGGATCAGTTGTTCCTTTGTAAGGATTGACTTAAAACATAATTAATAATTCATTGGATCCATATCCTACCACTGCTGTAGAGAAGAAAAATTGTCGCAACTATCTCCATTATGGAAATGCCCCTTTTTCATAAACATTTCGACTTTGTTCGTTGTAATGTGCATTGATAAAGTAGGAGTCAGATAATTGAGACACATAATTTTTGTTTGATACTTGCATCTTTTTTTATCTCAATTAAAATACATAATTAAAAAAAAAAAGCTTAAAATATAACAAAGTTAATATAAAAACATGGAATATATACATCTTTAAATGAGCATTTCATCAAGCTTTCAGCATGCTACATGTTGAACTATAGTATTATGTTTACGTACTAGATGAATTAGCATGCCAATGTTTAAGCTTGTTCATTTATATGTTGAGTTTTAAAATGTTGTTTAAGCTTATTCAATTACTTGAATAAAGCAACATAAACGAGTCTCATATAAATGACTTTCGAGTTTTTTTATCAAGTGCATTAGATTGTTATTCTTAGAGTTGTTAAACCTTACATTTTTCAGTCACCTTAAACTTGCCCTAATTTTGAATTTGGCTCCTGTCAAGGTGTCATCTTACAAGGGAAAAAAAAGTGTCATCTTACAAATTTTGGTCATCTGATCTAAACATGGATTACCGGAATTATTTTTATGAAAGAAAACCAATGTTTTAAAAATCGGATCGGACCGGCTGATTCAACCGTGAACTTGCCTGTAGCTGGTCTGGTTCATTCTCAAAATCAGTTTCACAATGGAGTGGTTATAATAGATTCGAATTGTCGGTTTGATCAGTATCGATGAATTGGTGTTGGTTTTCCAAAACAGTTTGCTTATTTTATGTGAAGTAATTAATCAAAAAAACAAGCTAGTACATGATTAAAGTAATTAATTTAATATAAAGTACTTAACTTAATAAATTTATTTAAATATTTATTTTAAAATATGTTTTAAATTTTATAATAATTTTTTATTTAATCAGTACTAATTATGCTTTGCCTCATGGCTTGATCATTCTACGATACTTCTTTACTCATGTGAATCCTAAAAATAATATAAACAACACAAATATATTGTGCCTTAGTGATGTGAGACTAAAAAACAAAGATGAAGTTCTCATATTCACTACACATACACTATACACATTTATTAATTATATTTTATAATGTGAATAATATTTAATTTTTAGTTGATAGTATTTAAATTTTTTATCTAATTAATTATTTATATAATATAATTTTTTTTTAATTATTTGAATAATAAGTGATATAATATGAATTTATAGATGTAATTTTATGATATAAATTTTGTATACAATTTATAAGTATAAATTGTATCAAAACCTATAACATAAATTAGAAATTATTCATGTTAAATTTATAAACTTATATATAAAGTAATTTTATAATAAAGATGAATTAAATTTAAAGATAAAATATGTTTAAATTTAAAATTATGGGATATATTATTTATGTATGAATATTATTATTTTTAGCACCAAATTTACATTATTTCATAATTATTATATTATTATTATGTTATTTAGATGATATTTAAATAATTCTGACATTTATTACATCATCCGGTTCAATCCCGATTCAACCGGTCGAATCATTGAACCGTGAACCTCTCATTGTTCCGGTTCTAAATCTGATTCGGTTTTCATAACCTCGAAGAAAACCTAGTGTTATATTAGCTACTAGGTAATAGGAATAGAAAGCAATCTGGCAATTTGGATTTGATGGTTGTATGGTTATCAGGTAATTGGAAATGATCTGAGACTCCTAACTTCCTTGTAGCCCTGGTTCTTATTGGAAACATTGCTTATTGTTCATTTCTTGCACTTAATACGGATTCGGATCCCATCAATAATTGCTCTGGTTTTCAAACACTCAATTCTGGCCATCAAAATTGGATTGGATGGCTAGTAGACTTAATTGCACTTAAGTGGAGTTTACCCCTTAAAGTAGAGGAGATCGAAATCTTTACAATGAAACATTTTCTGAAAGTTGCTTGCATGCATTATTCATGATGATTTGATCCTACTTAAGAACGAGGTCACATAAACTACCTTGGGAATTAAACCAAATGTTTTTTTTTTTCATTTTTCTTGATTTCAGGTCCAAAACCATGGTGAAGATCTGCTGCATTGGAGCTGGCTATGTCGGGGGTCCAACCATGGCCGTCATTGCCCTTAAGTGCCCATCAATTGAGGTTGTTGTTGTGGACATCTCTGTTGCTCGCATCAATGCGTGGAACAGTGACCAGCTCCCTATCTATGAGCCGGGCTTGGATGATGTGGTGAAGCAATGCAGGGGAAGAAACCTTTTCTTCAGCACCGAGGTAGAGAAGCATGTATTTGAGGCTGATATTATCTTTGTCTCCGTCAACACACCAACAAAGACCCGCGGCCTGGGCGCCGGCAAGGCAGCTGATCTTACCTACTGGGAGAGCGCAGCCCGCATGATCGCCGATGTCTCCAAATCTGATAAGATTGTGGTTGAGAAATCCACAGTCCCTGTCAAGACTGCTGAGGCCATTGAGAAGATCTTGACCCACAACAGCAAGGGAATCAACTATCAAATCCTATCAAACCCAGAGTTTCTCGCCGAAGGCACAGCAATACAAGATCTTTTCAATCCCGACCGCGTTCTTATCGGCGGCCGCGAGACCCCTGAGGGCCAAAAGGCTGTGCAAGCTTTGAAGGATGTGTATACCCAGTGGGTGCCAGAGGATCGGGTTCTCACCACAAATCTATGGTCAGCTGAGTTGTCAAAGCTCGCTGCCAATGCTTTCTTAGCTCAGAGGATTTCTTCTGTTAATGCCATTTCTGCTCTATGTGAGGCCACTGGTGCCAACATCACAGAGGTGGCTTATTCAGTTGGGATGGACTCAAGAATCGGCCCCAAGTTCCTGAACGCCAGTGTTGGATTTGGTGGCTCCTGCTTTCAAAAGGATATCCTGAATCTTGTCTACATCTGTGAATGTAATGGTCTGCCTGAGGTTGCCAATTACTGGAAGCAGGTCATTAAGATCAACGATTACCAGAAGAGCAGATTCGTGAATCGTGTGGTCTCATCAATGTTCAATACCGTTTCTGGAAAGAAAATTGCGGTGCTTGGTTTTGCATTCAAGAAAGACACCGGCGATACTCGGGAGACGCCAGCGATTGATGTCTGCAAGGGCTTGCTAGGAGATAAGGCCTCCATCAGCATCTATGATCCACAGGTTACAGAGGATCAGATCCAGCGCGATCTCGCCATGAACAAGTTTGACTGGGATCACCCAATTCACCTCCAGCCGATGAGCCCAACCGCAGTCAAACAAGTCGCCGTCGCCTGGGATGCCTATGAAGCCACCAAAGGTGCCCATGGAATCTGTATCTTGACTGAATGGGATGAGTTCAAGGCATTGGATTATCAAAGGATTTATGACAACATGCAGAAGCCAGCATTTTTGTTCGACGGACGCAACGTGGTCGATGCGGAGAAGCTGAGGGAGATCGGCTTCATCGTATACGCAATTGGTAAGCCTCTAGATCCTTGGCTCAAGGACATGCCTGCTGTGGCCTAAGAGAGATGGAATACATAGCTGACAATTTGCAATAATTCTTTAAAAGCATTGTTCGTTCGTTGCCTCCTCTATATCCTTTTCAATTTTTCGCTACATAGAAAGGTAGGCTGTCATGTGTTCTTTGCCTTCCGTTCTTATTATACTTTTGTATGGGATGTTATCAGTTTGTTTTCAGAGAGATGAAATTTCATATTTTGTTAGTTAGTATTTCCATCCAGTAGAAGTCATTAAATTACTACACTTCATCAAATGCTTAAAGTTATGCCCCCTTAATTATAAAATATTTTTTTAAGCATTTTACACCTTAATGATATTATAATTGAATAATTTTGTGCTCCTTAAATTTATTTTGTCGATATGCTCGTTTTGATTATGACCATATAGAATTCGGAGGACGTTTAACCCTTCAAATGTCCTCAAAAGTTTTTAATTATACTTCTAAGTGCTCGATCTAGGTTCATTCATGATATATTTTTGTTTTTTGAAAGGCATTTAAAATCGAAACAAATTTTTTCATTAATTAAAAAAATAAAAATCTTATAAAATTCTTAAAAATTAAAAAAATCCCACAAAATTTTAAAAATTCTCTCATTTCTAAATCCCCTATGTTGTAATTTTTTTTATATAAAAGCCTAAATGATCCAAAATGAGACCTAATTTGGGGTGGTCGTCGAGATTCGTAGACTAATAATAATAAAACATAAAAATAAATAAAAGAAGGGTGTATATGCATCAATGTAATTTTACTATATATAAATGCATTGAATATTTACAAATATTTTATAAAAAATTAAGAAGAAAATTTACATATAGTATTTGCAAGGATAATTGTGATTGTTTAGAAAGGTTTTGGAGAAAGAAAGTTTGCCTTAATTTATTGCACAACAGAAATCAAATTCAATTTCAATAGATAAAATTAAGCTCAAAAGTGTGCATCAACCACTGATATATTTCTCAGCTATATCTTACATGCAATTAAATTTAATATTCTCATATGCCTCAAGACATTTTCATATAGTATGTCCATTAATGCAAGCACTTGACAATTCCAAAGTAACTTGAGAAAGAATAGAAGACTAACATAAGTTGCTTATATAATAGTTGACCTATAATACTTATATTGTTTAGGTAAGACGAAGATGAGGTACGCAGCTCATTTTAGGCTTCGTTTGGGATGATTTTCTTATTACTACTTAAAGCAGCTTTCTAGTACAAAAAATAAAATTTTTGTACTAAAAAACTATTTGAAAAAGCAGCAAGAAAGCTGTCCCAAACGAAGCCTTAATCTGTTTGTTTGGAGCTTTGACTACAACCAAGACTCTTGGGTTCGAATTTTGCATATTTGATGTGTGTGAATTTACCTTAATTGATCTGAATATCTAGATCTTCTTGCCACTATTTATGCATTAATGGACATCTACTAGTACTATGTTTAGATTTTTCCTTAACAAGATTTTTGTGGTGTCTTTCTGTTTTACTGTGGAGGTTTTTACTCTAGCCCTTGTCATTGTTATTAGAGTAAATACATTTAAGATATTCTTTATCTTTTCATAGTTTTTTTTAATGTAATTTATCTCATATTTTTATTAGGTCGGCTCAAATGCAATTATCTTCACCTTTTGGAAGGCATTATCTTCAAATTTGAAATTTTACTATCCAATAGGATTCTATGATAAAAGTAAGTAACTCAGGCTTTATGTGGGACGGCTTTCTTATTTTTTTTAAAACAGCTTTCCAACATAAAAATTTCTTGAATCTAAAATTTTTGTGCTGAAAACCTGCTTTAGAAAATAATAAGAAAACTATCACAAACAAACCCTTATTTTATTCTCATTATTTGGGTCTTTAAGCAATTATGTTTTTTTGAGTACTTGATACAAAAATATGATAGAGCTTGAATGCTTCATTATCATTTCATATGATTTTTCCAAGTCAATTTTTTTACATTGACCCTATTTAGTTTCCTACTAAGTTCTTTCTTTCTATTTCTTGTCCTTTCAAAAAGAAAAAAAAATATTGCAATGATGAAGACCACATAGATAACAAGGCATGAAGGAGCTAATAAGTTTTTATATTCCAAGTCATTCATTCATCTTCAAATAATTTCAACTGTTGCAGATCTGACTCAAAATCTTTATTCAGAGTAAATTTTCAGTAAATTCAACAAGGAGATCCATGCAGGAGCTTCTCAACTGTTTTAGAAGAGCAGGTTGCCACAGTTGCATTCTTTAATTTCTACAAGACTGAATGAATAAGGGACATAAGAGTTATAAGATATGCTCCTTCCCTGATCCTTATTCCACAAACTAATGAGTGTGGCCCCCATATGCAAGTAGAAAGATTTGTACCTCAATGAGCCTATTGAGTATTCCCTAAGCATTGCTGGTCAGATCTTCCACACCAACACTTATTCCATTATCACAGCCTCACGGGTAGGGGTTGTGTGCGGACATCGGACAGGAGAACCATTCGGTTCCGCGCTCGGTACCGAGCGCGGTACATTTTTGGGGACGACATGGCACATTTTTATTGGTCTCCGGATGAATCTGTGAGATCTCTTACTTGAGGAAGAAGCACTTCCTCATGAATCTTGAAAAAGGAGGAGGGAGAGAGGAGAGGGGAGGCGGTGAGCCAAAAAATTATGCTATTCTTTATTTCCTTGGCTGCCTTCCTAATACAAGCTAAAGCCTATTAATAGGCACAAAAGCAACACCTACAGCTATACAAATAGCTACACAAAAGCAAACCTAAATCTAGGACTAATACCTAACAGAATCTCACCCGCACGTAATAATTTTTCCACAGGTAGAAGTGGAATAAATACCTTAATGATTGAATCATGTAGTATTAAGTTTATTGGGGATTTGTAGGTTTCTACTCCCACAAAACTTATTATTTATACCAATCTACACTTCCAATCCTCATTTAGGCTTCATTTGGAACGGCTTTCTTACTATTTTTTACAGCAGTTTTTTAGTACAAAAATTAAAAGTTTTGTACTAGAAAGCTGCTTTAAGAAACAATAAGAAAGCCGTCCCGAACAAAACCTTAGTTAGAACCAAATGTTTTTTTATCTTTTTTTCTACAAAGTAAAGAGAGAATTTCTTCTTGAGTGAAAGCAAATGTTTTTACACAGTCTTGGTAATTTTGGAAACTAGCTTTCTGGTTTTGTTGAATTCATCATTTATTTTTAGCAAAAGTTGGGCCAAAATGTCTTCTTTCTTTAAGGCATGCTTGAATTGACCTTGCTAATATGGAGTTCTATCAAAAACCAAACAGCTTTGATGCATGCACATGCTTGTATTTTAGTGAGGTTAGGTACTGACCAGCTCTCATTGGGCCGATTTAAGACTTCTAAGATCAAACTTTATGGCATTGAATGTTAGGTGACTTTCATCATCAGAAATACTGTTCTGATGTTATCAGTAGTAGCTGACCAATCTCTTCTATTTTAGGATATATTGGTGATGTCCTATTATGATAATCATGGTTTAGTCTTTGAGTTTCAATCTGTTCCTTGCACCAATTATAAGAAATCTAACAGTTTTGGTTCATTTCTTGTAGTTCTAACTTTTATAATTTTGTTAGATTATATTAAGAATTATTCTTCATGATGCATAGGTGAAGTTGGTAATTGACAGTTGGATGATGAAGTGTTCTTAATTTGTATTTTTTAATCTAAATTCATTAAAATTTTTGGTCTATTTAATGATTTGTGCTCTCTTTCTCTTTTGTGTTTATATTTTGCTATAGCATTCTTGATCTTGGTGACACATCCACTTTAGTGATTTGATACCCTTATTACAACAGATTAATATCAATGCATGATTCTGAAATTGATCACTATGAAGTTCAAGATCAAGAAGTTTAATGGGTTACAAACTTTCAATCTTCAGAGAACAAAGATGTATAGTGCGTTTGTCCAATAAGGTATTTTAGAAGCACTCATGGGCTTTCAAAGATGCAAGCAATGATGAATAAAGTTACAATGGTAGACATGGATGAAAAACTCTTATGGTTTTGTGGGCCCCGAATATTTGTGCCCTGGCCTCTCTGTGGTTCTTTTCTTTCTTCGGATTGTCTAGGAGAGTTTTAACCATTAAGTTATGGGGTAAATTTTGAGAAGCTAGATTGGGTTTTACATATGACACTACCTAGAAATTTCGCCCTCATTTTTTAAGGACTTTATGATATGAGTTCAGGTTTCCTATAGACGCAAGCCCCTTAGTAAATTACCCATCTCGGTAATGAGAGAAAACTTTCGATTAAAGCTAGTCGTCAAACAAATATGTGGTATCCATATATATATATATTGCATGATTCTCTTTTTCTTCTACAAGTTCTAATTTTTTCCATTTATTCATTAAAATCCAGTTCTTTTTAGTTCAATTCAAGTTTTGTTCCTTGCATTCATTTAAGTATAGGTCCCCTGTAGTTCAATATTTTTCAAGTTCGACCCTCTATTATCATTCAAGTTTTGTGTGTCGTCATTCTGGATTTCGGCAGCCTCCAGACGTCTCCCTCGTTTAAGAGAAATTTTGAGAGCTGGGCCTTCCCTAATAGGCTACGAGAGTGCATAGGATAGGTGTCAGGTGACACCGCAACTGTAGTCTTTAGTCCTACAATGCTACAAGAGCACATAAGTCTTAAAGGTACCTATTTAAAGATGCAAAATTTTCTTTCCTCCCTGAGATTGAGGTACGAATGAATACTTAATTTTGTTCTCGTCATGTTACGAGAGCACTTAGAAGCCTACCTGCCTCAACGCAAACATTGCACAGGGTTTCCTCTCTCCGTTCTACGAGAGCGTATAGGGTGGTCCCCCAGTGTACCGTGAGCCCCGAGAGCGGGATTTGGAGGATCTCTTGAGTTTTGGAAATGCTATACCTTGGCTAGGATTAGTGGTGACAAAGCAACGACGACGATTAACGTGAATGCACAAAATTCTATTTCCCTTTTTTTTTTCTCTCTCTTTTTACTTCTTTATATATATATGAATATAATAACCTTAGTCAATGCACATACACATTATACCATCCTTTTTTCTAACAAATAGAACAGGTGCTCTCCATGGGGACACATAAGGACGATTGAATCCTTTATCAACCAACTCTTGAAGCTGAACTTCAACATCTGAAGCTCCTTTATCATCCTATACAGAGCCTTGAAAATCGAGGTTGTACCCAAAAATGCATAAATGTAAAACT